CGGCGCTGCTTCACCTGCACCACGCACACCACCGCACACCATCGCATTACATTTACCACCTACTTTTCACGAAGGTCCTCAATGTTATGTGAATCAATTTATTTCCAGCGTTTAGTATAGCCTATTGTGTGAAAATTGTTAGATAAATTGTAAAATTATAAATAAGAGAACTTAGTTACACATACAGCTATGCGAGAAAAGATGTTCAAATCAATTAAGGTGTTCAATTAGTTTTAGTTGAGATTAGAGTGTGGTATGAGTCACCTTTTCTAGCTCAATTTTATTCTCTAGTTGCTTTTGTCTGTTCAATGCGTCGAGCTCGTCCCTGGAGACAGATTTGACGCCCTCCTTGGCGAGCTTCTTGGTCCACACGAAGGAATGCGTGAGGGCCGAGTCTCCGAAGGGATTGTCCTGGTTAGTGTAACACTGGTACTCCGTGTCCCAGCCCATGCGCTCGCGCCGTTTTCTTTCCTTTTCCTGTTTCTCTCTAAGACGCCGAGCTCTATGAAAAGTTAACATTCAGCTACATTCTGTTTTAGGTGCAATATGTTAATATACGGAGAAGACAGTTACCATTCTGCCATAATGCCATCTATTAATTGCTGAATACTATAGAATGTTGAATGAATACATTGGACAAAATAATATCGAACAATTATTTTACTTAGGTCTTGTTTCACACAGTCCAAGAAGTGCTGGGTAAATGAATGAAAATTAAGTGACGTAAAAATTCCGGACGAAATAGTTTGTAACACACACCTCATTTAGAGATTGTAAAATGATAACTTTTTTGATAAGTTATAAAAAAGGCACTTAATAATGAGAATAATTCAATCAATACTAATACTATAGAGATGAAAGATTTGGATTTTTGTATGTATTGAAATAACTCAAAACTAATGGGCTAATTTCAAAAATTCTTATAACATTAAAAACCAATGTGTTCAATGAGTAAGATAGGCTATAATTTTATTATTTTTAATGTCGAGCGGACGAAGTCGCGAACAAAAGCTAGTATTACATACAGATAACATGTAATTGTTTTTATAACTTTGTTTATGTTTCACAGCATTTTATTACTAGCATGTAAAGATTTGAGTTTATTTAATATCTTCACTTCACACAACACAAACATTCAAAGTAAACTTGCATATTTTCATGGATATGTCAGCAGTGAACTCTATTGTAATTGTAAGAGTGAAATTAGCTTAATTTTAAAGTTATTAACTTAAAATACCTCTTTTCCTCCGGAGTCTCTTTTGCCTTCAGCAACTCTTTTTGTTTTCGTTTTTCTTCTTTCAACCTTTGCCGTTCCGTTTCTAGTCTCTGCAACAGCTTCAGCTCTTCTCGTTCCTGGTCACTGTCGCTGCTGCTGCTGCTGCTGCTGCTGCTAGACCTCTCTTGTTTCTTCCTCTTCTTTTTGTTCTTTTTATGTTTAGAAGATAACTCATCCTTTTTTTTGTCACCCCGAGCAGAACCCTTATGGCTAGTCATTTCAGAATAACTTGATGAACTCTTTCGTGATTTCAAATGATGTTGTTTCTCATGTGCTGGAGAACGACTTTTAGACTGGCTCCTGTTGGCTAACTTCCGATTTTCATATTTTGATGACCTGATAAAGATTTTTTTCATTAGTGTATATAGACAATATAACAGTTAAGAAAACAGTGTTAACTTTAAGAAAGGTATTTGAAGTCCATTAAATGGATAATATATATGTAACAAAAATGGAGTATCTGTATTTAATATTAAAAGAAAAAACAGATTTCGCACATATTATGTACATGCTAACGAAGTTTGGGTCACATACTTAATATTAATAATTGAATGGTTATATGACTTTTTATAATTTTTGTCATTAGAGTTTAGAGACCAAAAGTGCAGTAGCCAAGAGGAGCAGGCACCTCTGCACCTTCCTTATAATGGCACATTAGTTGTCATCAGTCTACCTGTATTCTGCATTATTACCTTCCTCTGCTAGTATCAAATCATTGCAATGCCCACATAAATCTATATAAATACTTCCCTGGTAATACAAATTACAACATAGGCTGTTTCATAACAATTTTTATATCCACACAGATTAACACATGAACAATAATGAGTATAACAGAAAATTGAAATCTACATTTCATATAATGTATATTCAACAAATTGAAATCCAAAACCTATTTAACATAATATTGTGCTTTATTGGTGCTACAAAATTATTAATTAGTGATTAAAAAATGACATAACTAATTGTGTTATTAAATTTTACTAAAACCTAACAAAAAAAGGATAGAAGAAGAGATGTTTTACATTTACTGCTTATGTAAGTTACATAAATTTGTAAATTTATGCAAATTACAGTGTTGTGTATGGTAATGTATTACCATACACAACAATGGGAAAAAGATCTCTAGAGAGCTTTTAACCTTACTTTTGACCTCTGGATTAAGTATATTAAAATATGGAATAAAAAACATTTAACAAATGTAACCTGAAAATAAACATTTCAAGCCCTCCGATGCATAGAGTGCCAATCAAGAGAATCCTACTTGCTTCGGCAGTACATATGCTACCTAGAGATTCCATAACATGTAACTTCTTTACATTTCATTCATCATTATCAAACTGTAAGTAATTGATTTCTAAAGTTTATACTTACATTTTACTATATTGTACTTAAAACAACACAAATATAAAACTAAAATTTAGGTTACGGTTAGCGGTATTTAAAAGCAGATATACACTGAACACTTTTTCAATTGAAACTTAATCAAAAGCCCCAAAAGCAAAATACATCTTCAAAACTATACGATCAAAAATACAAAACACGCCATTATTTTTTGCAATGAAAACAAAATGTCATCACAAACTCACAGACTGCATTACAGATTTTATATGTAGGCAGTATAGTTCCACAAAGATCTTGAGGCTGATGGAGAACACATGAACTAACAAAGTCATTACAACAGTGACAGTCTTAGTCATGTCATCACTCTATTTATTATCTATCCTATTACCATATTTTTTATTTCTTATGGTGACGGTCTGTAGGTAATTGCCAAATAGTTTTTCTATTTCGCTATTATTTTTATTGCAATTTTAGTTAGCTGTTTCGCTATCTTCCATTTTTTTGTTAAAAATTATTTGCTCAGTTAGTGTGTTAAAATTTAAGTGTAAGAAATTAACTATTCATGAGAGCTGTAAGAGTACAACAAAGAAGAGAACTGTATGTAACTCCGTTTATGAATGAGACTTTCTTGAAATGAAAGCTTTCTTTAAAAATTACAGTTTAATGTTATAGTTCAAAATGTCATTTCTTCGTGGTTCAGAGAATTATGTATGGTGTACTACGAGTGTTTTGGGTAAAGGGGCAACTGGCGCGGTGTTTCAAGGAGTGAACAAGAATAATGGGGAGCCCGTGGCTGTAAAAACGTTCAATCAACTCAGCCACATGAGACCACATGATGTGCAAATGCGTGAATTTGAGGTGCTAAAGAAAGTGAAGCACGAGAACATCGTGAAGCTGCTGGCCATCGAGGAGGAGCAGGAGGGGCGCGGGAAAGTCATCGTGATGGAACTGTGCACCGGCGGCAGTCTCTTCAATATACTGGATGATCCCGAGAATACATACGGCCTGCAAGAACATGAGTTTTTATTGGTGTTGGAACATTTAACTGCTGGTATGAAGCATTTGCGTGACAATAATCTTGTCCACAGAGACCTAAAACCTGGGAATATCATGAAATTTATTAATGAAGATGGTACAACAACATACAAACTGACAGACTTTGGTGCTGCCAGGGAACTGCAGGAAGAGGAGCAATTTATTTCTTTGTATGGAACAGAAGAATATTTGCACCCAGACATGTATGAGCGGGCAGTGCTCAGGAAACCTGTGGGGAAGAGTTTTGGAGCAACAGTTGATCTTTGGTCAATAGGAGTCACATTGTACCATGTAGCTACTGGACAACTGCCATTTAGACCATATGGGGGAAGAAGAAATAAGGAAACAATGTTCTTTATAACTACTAAAAAAGCTTCAGGTGTTATTTCTGTAAGTAATCTCATTTTTGCTTAAAACTAGAACTCCAACTGGCCCCGGCAGCATAACAGCATCTCTCACAAGTACTTACATTACAATGCACACTGACTGAACAACATCAATTTTTAAAGTCAAAACATTGATATATCAACATTTGATAGTTTTGTAAATTTTATCAACTTTCATATGAGCTATACCAACACTTCTAGTGCCTGCTGCATATTTTAAATGAGTAAATTTCATATGTAACAGTGATTAATAAGATGAATTAGAAGAAAATGGGTAAAATGTTTTGTGTAATTGAAACATTCTAGGGCACCCAATCAACAGATAATGGTCCTATAGACTGGTCACGTGAACTGCCGTCCCACTGCCAACTGAGCATGGGCCTCCGGAAACTGGTGACTCCACTCCTAGCGGGCTTGCTTGAAGTAGATCCTCACAGAATATGGAATTTTGAAAGGTTTTTCTCGGAAGTTCAAACTGTTACCAGCACAAAGCCAATTCATATATTCTATGTGAATAAGGCTGCCAGCATTAAGGTAAGATTTATGAATGACATTCCCATGTGGTATCATCTGCATGAACTTTCAATTACAAATGTCAAAATTACGAGGTTTTCACGTGACTTCATGCCTCATACAGCCGCATTGTGGAATACTCTACCCTCAGCAGTATTTCCAAACAGTTACAACTTAGGGGCCTTCAAGAAAAGAGCGTACTCCTCCTTTAACATTTGATGACAATTAAAATTACAATTTCCATAGCAACCTTGCTCACTCTCAAGTACTACATCAGTAGACAGCTTGTAGTTTTTGCCTCTTTCCTGCAGGACAGTTTTTCCAAATTACTTACTCCCTATGTCTAATTGTTTGAAAATATATAGCCTAAAGCATGTTGGAAGTGTAGGGCTCTTTATCAAAAAAATAATTATTCAACAATATACTGTGATTGCCGACATCCTCTGTAACTAGGATGTGTGTGTTTCACTTTACAATATCAATATAGATATATGTAGATAGATTTAGTAAACAAAGACTAAATTTAACATAACAGATTTTGTCTATGTGGACTTAAAGAGTCTTTACCAAAATTAAACAATTTACTTTAGACAGGCATATTTTATTTTTCAGACATCTCAATATTTGGTACTTTGCATCCACTTTTAGAATTTAAATGAAAATGAAGTACAAATGAATGTGTCAGGTGTTCCTGAAGCCGGAGGAGAAGTACGAGCAGCTGCAGACGTACGTGTGCGAGCAGACGAGCGTCGTGCCCGAGGCGCAGATCCTGCTGCTGCAGG